AAAGAATCAGAAAGATTTTAAGATCTAAACCATTAGAGAGAGAAAAATGTAATTTTTAAAAGTCCAGTAGAAATAAACTCTACCTGAACAGTAATCACAATAAATGTGAATGGACTTAATGCACAGATATGTAGATAGTTAGATCGGATGACAAAACGAAATCTAGCTGTGTTTGACAGAGGCCCACCTAAAACATTAAAACACGGAGTTTGAAAGTAAGATAGAAGATCTCCAAGGAGTGAAATTCTCAAAAGAAACTTGGTACACTTAAGTATTATTAAGATGGTAAATTTTGCCCGGTTGGTGTGGCTCAGTGGTTGAGCATCAACCCATGCTCCAAGAGATCGCTGGTTCAATTCCTGGTCAGGGCACATACCCAGGTTGTGGGCCTGATTCCCAGTGGGGGGCATCCAGGAGGTTGCTAATCGCTGTTCTCGCTCATTGATGTTTCTATCTCTCTCTCCCTCTCCCTTCTTCTTTCTCTAAAATCAATAAAGAAAAAATAATAATAAAAATAAATTAAAAACCCTGGCCTTTTTGGCTCAGCGGTTGAAGCGTCAGTCTGCGGACCAGTGAGTCCTGGGTTCGGTTCCTGCTAGGGGCACGTACCAAAATAAATAAATAAATAAATAAATAAATAAATAAATAAATAAATAAATAAGATGGTAAATTTTATGTTATGTGTATTTTACCACATTTAAAAATAATAATAATAATAATAAAGAGAAAGTTGGAAAAACTCTATTAATATGAGACAAAATTGCATTATTTAGGATTAAATGGTTACTACATAAAGAGTTCAATTCACCAGGAAATCAAACAGACTCAAAACATAAAGCAAAAGTTGACAGAACTCTAGCTGTAGGGAAAATGTATAGATCTTGAACAATCTATCTTCACAGTGTGAGATTGTAACATGATTCTCTCAATAATTCATATATCAAAAGGCCATAGATTTGAACATAGAACCCTATACCCAAAACTTAGCAAATTATAAATAAAAAATATTTAAGTTATAGAATAAAATTTTTCTTCTCAGGTACAAAGGAACATTTACAAAATGGACAGTTAGTAGACCATAGAGAAAATTTCAACATACATCTAAGAATGGTTGTCATATAGACAACATGTTCTGACTACAATGTAACTATGTTAGAAATCAATAACCAACAGTATTTAAAAATCCATTTTTTTAGAAATGTAAAAGGCATACTTAAAAAAACTCACCAGTCAAAGAAAAATTATAAGGAAATTTAGAAAATATTAAGAAACAGCACTAATAAAAATACTTCATACCAAAACTTTAGAGATTCAGTTTAAAAGATTTATAGAGAAATGTAGAGCCTTAAATACTTACATTTAAAAAGAAGAAGAATAAAGACTGATGCAGAAATTTCACTTCTGGGTATTTATCCAAAGAAAACAAAAACACAAACTTGAAAAGATATATGCACCCCCATGTTAACTGCAAAATTATTTATAATAATCAAGATATGAAAACAACCTAAGTGTCCCTCAATGGATGAATGGATACAGAAAATGTGATATATACATATGTACACATATATAGAAATATATACACAATGGAGTATTACTCAGCCATTTTTTTTAAAAATCTTGCCATTTGTGAAAAGATGAATGACCTTGAGGGCATTATGCTAAGTGAAATAAGTCAGACAAAGTCAAATACTCACTTATATGTGGAATCTTACAAAGAAAACAAACAAGCTCATAGATGTAATAAACAGATTAGGGTAGGGATTGTGGGTGGGTGAAATGGGTGAAGAGGGTCAAATGGTACAAATTTTCAGCTATAAAATAAGTAAGTCATGGGGGTGTAATGTGTCTATAGTTAATAATATCATATTGTATATTGAAAAATTCTAAGAGATCTTAAAAATTCTCATAACAAGAACAAAAATTTTTGTAACTATGTATGGTGATGGATGTTAACTAGGCTTTTTAGGGTGATCATTTCACAATACAAACAAATATCAAATTATTATGTTGTACACAAACTATGTTCTATGTCAATCATACATCAATTTTTTGAAAAAGAAGACTGAAAATTAATGAGCTAAAGATTCAACTCAAGAAGTCACACAAAGAACAATAGAGGAAGCTCAAAGGTATAGGAAAAAGAAGGAAATAAAAAACTAAGAATGAAATTAATAAAATGAGAAATAGAATAACTGCATGGTTCCTGGTGGGTACTAGACTTATCGAGGGATCACTTCGTAAGTCCTTTAAATGTCTGAACTCTATGCTGTACACCTGAAACTAATAAATATTGAATGTCAACTGTAATTGAAAATCATTTTTAATAATTTAAAAAATAAATATGTAAAAAGGAAAAATGATACAACAGAGAGGATCAGTAAAGCCAAGAGCAAATTAATAAAATATGCAAAAATCTTGAGTAAGACTGATCTAGACAAAAGAGAAAGAACACAATTTTAAATATCTGTAATAAAAAAGGGTACATTACTACAACCTCAGGAAGATATTTTTATAAGAGAGAGAGACTGTTGTAAATAACTTCACACCCACACGTGTGAAATTTTAGAAAAACTGGAAGAGTTTCTAGAAAAATGTAACTTGCCAAACACTGATATTAGAAGAAAAACAAAACTTGCGTAGAGCTGTAACCGTTGAAGACATGAACTCAGTAGTTCAAAATCTACTCAGCTACAAAAACTGAGCGCCAACTTTCTAAAAACTGCCACAAAAAGGAAAAAGAGGAAAATCCCTTCCACTCATTTTATGAGACCAAAGGAGAAAACTCGAGCATAACTCTGGGTGAGACAGCTGAAGGGTGAGGAAGAACCCCAAAGCTCCACAGGCCTGTGAAGGAAAGGGGACAATGACCGAAGAATGAAAGGCCACCACCTGTGACTGCATTTGGACCCTAAAATATGCACAGTAATGACGATGTAAACCCGTTTTGTCGGAGGACACGGAAAGGAATAAAGTACTGATATATGCTACAAGGATGAACCTTGAAAATATTGTCAAATGAGCCAGACACCAAAGTTCACATCTTATGCGATTCAATTAACATCAAACGCATGGAGACAGACGGTAGGTAAGTGTTTGGCATAATGAGCAGTGCTTGATCATGGGGGAGGGGTTTCTTCAGCGAGTGAAGAAAATGTTCTAAAATTGATTGTGGTGATGGGTGCACAAGTCTGTGAATATACAAAAAAAACTACCAAATTGTACAATATAATTGTGAATCATATTTCAACGAAGTTGTCAATAATAAACCATATAGATGGTATCTGGCAAATCGAAACTTATGCCTCTAAGGAAAAACTGCTCACAGCACATTCCAAGTGCTAAGTTTCAACGGTGACAGAGGCCCAAACCAGCGGCTGTAAACCTCGAAGTCACCCCTGCTGTCTCCTGGACCTGCCCCCCCACCTTCATCCTGGACACGAGCGGCCTCATGCGCTCAAAATCCACTAAATGCACTTCTCAGCGCTTAGAATCTGAGGATTCTTAGAAATCCCAAACTTTTCCCTCTGATTTCATAGACGAGGAAACTCGCTTAGAAAGGGTTAGCACTCTACTGCCACAGCGAGTCACAGCGAGTTCTCAGCAAGCCGAGGGCAGGACGGGTCTGGCTACGGCACCTCTCTCTGCCTACAGGGCTCCCAGCCCCCCAAGCGGGTCCGCGCACAGTCAGAACTACACCTCTCACAGCCAGACACTGTGAGTCAGACACTGGGCAGGAGCTGGAAGGGCATCAGGAGGCGGCAATTTCCGGGAGAGGGAGGAGGAGATGGGTCAGGTCTGAGAAGGCAGCATAAGCCCCTCTTCCCATAAGAGCGGGGGACGCAAGAGAGGACACGAACTCGAGATGTGAGCCACCTCGTGGTGTCACACGTGGTCTGGGGTCTGTGGTTCTCTGTTCCCATCACCTATGCAACTGGAGGGCAAAGTTGAGAGAACAGTTCCCACTTACGCAGCCCTCCCCACCTAAGATCAGTGTGATTTTGCCCCCCAGAAGTTGCCCTGTGAGTCAATCAACCCATGGAAACTTTACCCACCATGACCTCAGGGAAGACAAAAAATGAAGAAGACCCTGGGCCACTGGTCCCACCCAAACATCTTCCCCAGCGGTGTCCCACAGCTATCTGCCCACCCACCCTGTGGCTGCAACCACAGGCCAAAGCCGATGAGGGGGCTGGGGGCCAGTATCGCAAAGAAAGGGGCAAGAGACCCTGTGGTGGCACACGAGTTTGGGGCTCAGAGCCTGGGCTGGGTGGGATGCAGGTGCGGGCAGGAAGTGGGCAAGAGGGTTTGAAGGATGTTTATCCCCCCGTGCACACTGCTCAGGGAGGCTGGAACAGTCACATGTATTAACACGGTTGCGGGCCAGGCACTGTTCTAAGCACTGCACACGGAGTAACTCCCCAAATCTTCACAACCTCTGGGGTGTACACTACTGTTATTCTCGCTTGTAGTTGAGGAAACTGAGGCACAGAAAGGCTAAAGGAACTTGCCAGGCCACACAGCTAGCACGCCACGGAGCTGGCCCCCACCCGAGCCCACGCTGGGACTTCCCACCCCGCGCGGCCTCCTAGGCATCACACCTGCAAAGCTGTGGGTCAGAGGAGGGAATTCCCCCCCCTGGCCTGCTCACTCACACCCGCGTTGGGCATGGAAGCCCTGCCCCCGTGTCCATGCCATGCTAAGCCTCGCTGTTTGCCCCGAGCCCCCGCACCCCAGGGTGCTTGGCTTGGCAGATGCGCCTCTGGCCTTCGCCGTTTGCTTCCTGAGGGCTGTCAGCCGGGCCGGATGAAGAGGTGAGGACAGGGTGGGTGCTGAGGGAGGAGGGAGGACGAGGGGACGTGTGACCACAGTTGGGGGGCAGGGCAGGAAACAGAAGTGACGAGAACGGTGGCCTGGTGATGAGCTGTGTGGTGAGCCTCGCTGGAGAGCAGACGCCACTGCGGGAGCCTCCCTGGCAGGACGGGGTGTCCGCCAGAGCCCCTCGCCGTGGGACTCCAGGTGCGGAGGAAGCGGGGGCAGGGCCGGGGGTCCCGGGCTGTGGACAGAGGAGCGTGGAGTGGGGCTGCTCCTTCGGAAGAAGAGCCTGACAGAGCAGGAAGTGCTGTGACCTGTAAGACGGGAGACGGGTCCCAGGCTGCGCTCCGCACTGACTCCCTGGGCAGCCTCATGCTGCCCCTGGAGTGAGTTTCCTCACGGGTGAAGTTAAGGTTAGAGTACACAGCTCTGAGACCCTTAGAATGTTGACACTGAAGCTTCTGGAAAAGCTGGAAGCAGGCCTCCTGGGAGATAATAGGATGAGGGCCAAGATGAGACTGAGTTCCTCGGAGGAAGAATATGAATTGTGCTGGCCTCCTACAGGGGACAACCGAGGGGCTCTGAAAGACCCCCGAGTCTCGTACCTCTGGGGACTGCCGCGTTGCCTGGGAGACAGCACCGCGAGCTCGTCTGGTTAGAGGTGGAGAGGAGGTTCCAGACCATACGTAAGCCCAGATGAGACTCCAGGGCCACCTCGAAATGAGGAAGAACCTTCTGACGAATCACTGTCCGGAAGGGGCAAAGGCAGCTCCAAGTCCTGCCAGAACTCCGGCTGAGTGTCAGGAGACCGGGAGGGCAAACGGAGCGGCCTCGCCCCACACGGGACCTCAGGCACACGCCCAGAGTTCAGGCTGACCTTCAGGAGGCTCGGAGGGCGGGCCCCGAGGGAGAATGGAGAGTGAGGCGCAGCCTCCTCCGGTAGGCGCAGTGGGAGGGAGAGCAGGAGGGCGCAGTGGGGGAAGCATGGCCTGTTCCAGGGCCCAAATGGCACTTCTTCAGAATCCTGAAGTCCCCAGGTCCCTTCCCAAATCTGCTACAGCTACTCTCTGTTCCCCTCCTGTGCCCACAGAGCCCCCTCCCCACCAGCAGCCGGCGGGTACAGAACCATCCATGTGGATCCCCAACAGGCCTTAAATAGTGGAAATACTAGCAAGGGACTCCTGGCTGGGTGCCCTTGAACAAATCGCTTCCTCTCTAGGCCCATCTGTACAACGCGGGAGGTGGCCAGGTATGTAAGGGCCGTTCCAGCTCTGACGTTCAGTGACTTAAGAGGTACCTCATTCCCTCCTCGTTCTATGTGCCCTGATCGCCCACAGGTGATGGGAGGGGTCAGCCGTTCTCCTTGCTTGTGCCCCCAGCTTCCCGGAATCCAAACGCCCCTGTCTCCGCAGCTCCATGGCCACCCGCGTGCTCCTCTTGGGCGTCCTGCTCCTGCTGCTGCCCACACCCGCCCCTGCCCCCTGCTTCACCGCTGCGCGGTCCGAGTGCCGGAAGGTTCGGAAGTTCGTGCCTGGCTCGTGGCTGGCCGGGGAGGGTGTGGATGTGACCAATCTCCGGCACTCGGGCTCCTTCCCTGTGGATACACGGCACTTCCTACGGCCCGATGGTACCTGCACCCTCTGCCGAAACACCCTACAAAAGGGAGCCCTGCAGCGCCTTCCCCTGGCACTCACCGACTGGCGTCCCCAGGGCTCGGGCTGCAAGCGCCGTCTGGTCAGGGCCCAGGCCAGCTCCACAGAGGCTGTGGCCAAAAGTGCAGCTTCCAGCATCCACGATAGCTGGCGGGTGGGGCTGGAATTAAATCCCAAACCCAGCACCAGCGCTCAGGTAGCATTTGCTGGCTCGCACTCCAGGGAGGCCAATTTTGCGGCCGAGAAGACCCACCGGGACCAGTACCGCTTCAGCACTGACACCGTGGAGTGCCACTTCTATAGGTGAGCGCTGAGGGTGGGGGCAGGGGAGGCTCAAAAAGTTCTGGGGAACTGTGGGTGGTCTGGGAGCCCTGGGGTGGCTGCTTCCAGCCCAGGTTCCCACACACCAGGTCCTGTGGCCCTGATCTGAGTCCAGGGAGGAAACAGGTGAACAGGAAGCAGGCAAGGCTGTGCGAGAGCCCCACGTAGTGCCTCCAGGCCTACTGAGTGCCCAACCCCCTCTTTCCTGGGCATTGCCAATCTTCTATGGGCAGGAGACCTGGCGGGTCCCTCCCATCCCTGGCCTGCTTCCTCCATGCAGACACTATTCATGCCTACTTTATCAAGCTCTGTGCGGGGAATTGGGGCTACAGTGCCCAGCAAGAGTGGTCACGGCACCAGCCCTCAGGGACGTAGGACCCGCACCTGAGAAATGCATGGTCTCAGTGGGCAACCCCAAGTCACCTACCCTGATTTCTCACACTGGGAGGCCACACCGAGACAGGGGCCAGAGCTGTCAGGAGCTTAGGCATAGGAGGCCCATCCAGGAGACAGACAGACGAAGGCCACAGGACTAGGGTTCAGAGCTAGAGGAATATCATTGGTGCAGTATCATCGCTCTTATAATTAGAAAATAAAAAGGAAAGAAAAACTATTTTGTTTTGTTGTTGTTGTTGTTGTTGTTGTTTTCTTTATTGATTTGAGAGAAAGAGGAAGGGAGAGGGAGAGAGAGAGAGAAACATCGATGAGAAAGAACATCGATTGGCCACCTCCTGCATGGTCCCCACTGGGATTTGGCCCACAACCTGGGCATGTGCCCTGACTGGGATCGAACTGGTGACCTTTGGTACATGGGTTGATGCTCAACTACTGGGCCACACTGGCCAGGCAAGAAAACTATTTTGAAAAGGAAAAGCGAAAATGCCTCGACAAAGTAACTAGGTCACTGAAGAGCTGTAGACAGAGTGGGTTTCCTGGGTTCAGGTCCGATTTCTGCCGCTTACATGTAACCTTGGACGATCTTGAGGGAGTTACAGAATCGGGGACAGGTGGCCCACTGCCGGGCCCTGCTGATGCTTTGTTCTCCCCCACAGTTTCCACCTGGTGCACTCTCCACCACTCCACCCCAACTTCAAGAAGGCCCTTAGGATACTGCCCCCCCACTTCAATGCCTCCACCGAGCCCGACTACAACAGGCTCATCTCCAACTATGGCACCCACTTTATCCGCTCCCTGGAGCTGGGGGGCAGGGCCTCTGCCCTCACCGCCCTGCGCACCTGCGAGCTGGCCCTGGAGGGTCTCACGGCCGACGAGGTGGGGGACTGCCTGGCCGTCGAGGCCGCGGTCAGCATAGGTGGCCAGGCCAGCTCCTCATCAGAATTCAAGGCCTGTGAGGAGAAGAAGAAGCAGCACAAGATGACAAACTCCTTCCACCAATCCTACCAGGAACGCTACTCCACGGTGGTAGGCGGCCACCACACCTCCATACCTGACCTGCTCTTTGGGAACCACGCTGGGCCCGAGCAATTCTCAGCCTGGGTGGCCTCGCTGCTGGACAGCCCTGGCCTGGTGGACTACACCCTGGAGCCCCTGCACTTCCTTTTGAAGAAGCAGGACCCACGGCGGGAGGCCCTGAGGCAGGCCGTGAGCAAGTATGTGTCGCACAAGGCGCGCTGGGAAAACTGCAGCCGGCCCTGCCCCCCGGGGCAGAAGAAGAGTCCCGATAACCCCTGCCAGTGTGTGTGCCACGGCTCAAATGTCATCAACCAGGACTGCTGTCCCCGGCAGAGGGGCCTGGCCCGGCTGGAGGTTATGAACTTTCAGGCAACGGGTCTGTGGGGAGATGTGATAACTGCCACAGACGCCTACTTAAAGGTCTTTTTCGGAGGCCAGGAGCTGAGGACCAGCACGGTGTGGAACAACAACAACCCCCGGTGGAAAACCCAGCTGGACTTCGGGGACGTGGTCCTAGCCACAGGGGGGCCCCTGAGGGTGCAGGTCTGGGACCAAGACAACGGCCGGGACGATGATCTCCTCGGCACCTGTGACCGATCTCCACAGTCGGGCCTTCACCCTGTGGAGTGTCACCTGAGTCACGGCCGCCTGAAATTTTCCTACCACGCCAAATGCTTGCCTCACCTGACCGGGGGGACCTGCCTGGACTACGCCCCCCACGGGCTCCTGGGGGAGCCCCCCGGAAACCGGAGTGGAGCAGTGTGGTGACAGCAGGGCCGCAGGGCCGCGAGGGGCCACGTGCCGGACTGCAGGCGTTCCCACAGAGAGCGCCAGGGCCTGTCTTCGTGTCCCCGTTGGACAGAGGGAGAGCCGGCTTTTTTTCAGTGAGGTGGCTGAAGTTAGAGACCAGCCCTGAGGCTCCCTGTGCAAACGGCCTGGCTCCCGGGTGTTCTCCAGCGGGGAAATGAGCTGTTGCGGGCAGGCCCTGCCGGCGCGGCGCAGGCCATAGCTTAGGTCGGGAGCTGGCAGGAGGCTGCAGGCCGTTCCCGCCAGGCAGCTGTCATTTAAGAGCTTCCCTTGCAGCCCTCTGTGACATGGTGAGTGTGTCATCGTGTTAGAGCTGACCCCTGGGCTCCCAGCTGCTCTGTGCGCTGTCTCCTTTGCCCACTAAACTTGTCCTCTCCGACAGACCAAGGGCCACCTTGACCTGTCTCGTTGTGTATGCAACCTGCCAGAAAACTAATAAATGTGATGAATGACAACTGTGACGGTGGTCGTTGTGACGGAGGAGAGGATGGGGGCCAAACACACCCCAGGAGATCAACTTCTCCTCTAGTAACCCCGCACAACGGGGCAGGCGGCTCACCCCAGCGGCGGGCAGGTCATATAAATTAACCTATTTCCCACTTTCGTAGGAAATGCGGGGACCCAAAATATTTCACTTTCCTCAGAACTGTCGGATTTGGGAAGCAGCAGCGTAAACGTGGGGAGAAGGGGGAATGCACACTCAGTTCCCAGCTGGGAGGCAGTGGGGATGGTAAGGGCTGAAGGCACGTGTCTCATCCAGAGGGCCGTGGCTCCGCACCAGCCCGACATTCCCAGGCAGGAACGTGAGCCCGAACCGTTGACAGTGTGTTCCACCTTACAGAAATAAAGTGATGTGGGAACACATGGTACAAGCCAAAGAGAACATGTATGTGGGCCACAGTCGAACTGGAGCAGTCGGTTTGGAAACCCTGACTTCCACAGAACCGACGGGACAGGCCGGACCAGCTCCCCCTGCCCCAGTTGGAGCGGAGAGGACTGTGCTTCCAAGACGTGGGCTGGAGGTCTCCCCACCTTGGCGCACAGGGAACGCCAGAGCCTGGGGCTCTAACATAAAACGAGACGGTTTTTGTTTCATGTGCTGGGATTCAGGCCTAAGAACAGGCTCACAGGCCGTGCGGGGCCGTGGTCAGAGGGGCTCAGAGTTGCTGGCATAGGCCTCCTGACCCCCTTTGAAACGCTCTATACATTAAGCCCCGTGACGTTTGTGTGAATTCCTAGGTTCAAAGGTCCCAAAATGGACTCATCTATAGTATTCTTTTCAGACTCCTTATCTACGTTGCTCTTCATACTAACAATATGACTCTTACCATTAATAATTATCGCCAGCCAATTCCACCTTACTAAATAACCTATAACATGTAAAAAACTAGATATTACTATATTAATACTATTATAAGTATTTCTGATTATAACATTTTCAGCAACAGAACTAATCTTCTTCTATATCTTATTTGAAGCTACTCTTGTCTGCATACTAATTATTAATTACCCACTGAGGAGGCCAAACAGAACACCTCAATGCAGAAATTTATTTTCCTTTTTATACATTAGTAGGATCATTACCTTTTCTAGTAGCCCTTACCTATATTCAAAATGACATAGGCTCTCTTAACTTCCTACTCATGCAATATTGAATTAAACCATTACCAAATAACTGAGCTAACTCCTTACTAAATAAAAAAAAATGTATAAAAAAAAAAAATGTCCCAAAATGCTATGACACTGACCCTGAATCCTCAAGTGGGGCCGGAGGGGCCGTGGGCTCGAAGGGAGCCTACAACACCGTGCTGACACGTTTCTGTTCACGGCCACGCACACAAACGAGAGCAGAGCGCTCTGGAACCGTCGCGCCGGCTGCTGCGCCAATCGAGAATGAGCACGGGTGGGAGGGAGGGCAGGGGCTCGGGCACAGCTCCGACCAGCAGTGGGAGTCTTGGTCAGGTACTGCATGGTCAGTGACCTCCAGCAAGCTCCTCCACTCCCCGGCCGTGGCTTCCCTAAAAGGGCAATCTTTGTTTTGCCCCCTTCTTGGGGTACCAGGAGCCTTTCTGGAAGATCAGGGCTATGCAAGGGGTCCTGAGAGGTCACCTGGTCAACCCTTCTGGTCCTACCTGGAAGGGAAGCGGGGCCCACAAGGAGAAGGGGTTTACTGTGGCTGCAGACAGCAGTGGCAGGGCCAGGTCTCCCCGGGTCCTGGGCACTACACCCCAAGCAAGGCTTCGGAGAGGACAGAGCAGGACTCAGACACCGGCTCTTGGGGAAACGGTGGGATCTGACCAAAGAGGAGAAGCCCACTCTCATTGAGGGGCTGCTATGGGGCCCTCAGCCCTAACTCAAAACCCAACATTTTTGTTTCCACCCCACATGGACCTGGAGACACTTTGGCACACGTGAGGCCCCTCATTTATTCAGGAAATTGCCCACTTTGCCAGATATCTTCCACTTGCTCTCCAGGTCTTGTCTGCACCCTGCCCCACCCTGCTCCGTGCTGCTCTGGCCCGGGGGGCTGCCCTGTCTGAACTGTCTGTCAGTGGGCAAAAGACTGGGGGGAGGGGAGAGCGCAGAGTTCAGGCATTTACTCCCCAGCGTCCCTCAGTGAAGTGGCCTTGGGTTGGCTGCGTCCCTCTTCCTCTCTGGGGGACCTCTGCATGGCTCTCTCTTTCTTACTGGGTTCCAGCAACCGCCCCTCCCCTCACCCCTCCAGACCTAGGGGTAGCATCCTGAGTTACTGCACTGTCGCTAGCAACAGAATCCAAGTCTGGATGAAATAGGTAGAGAAAGAAAGCAGTGACTGATGGAGGTGGCGTGTGGATGCCGGCCCCCTTCCACCCCAGCCGCAATCACCCTGAGGTCTGAGCTCTTCATCAGCTCCGGTTGCTCACAGCAGTGACTCGTTGGGTGATGCACCTTTTACGGGCCACCTTCCCTTCTCTGGCTCCCTTCCTCTCTCCCCTCCTGCAGCTTCCTGGGACTGCCTCCCACATAACTGCCTGCACGCAGATCCTGATCCCTTTGAAGAGACCCCATGCTTGTGCCTCCCACAGCCTTACACCTCTAGAAACAGGCCCTTTATAAGCTAACTCCCTGAAAGCATTACTATTCGAATACGCCACTGGCTTCTGAATGTTTGTGACCTCCCAAAATTCACATGATGAAACTGTAATCCCCAAGGTGATGGTGTTAGGAGGCGGCCTTTGGGGGGTGATTATCTGGGGTTCCTGCCCTTATAAAATTGGCCCGAGGAGGCCCCTTGTCCTTTCCACCATGTGAGGCCACGGCGAGAAGGCACCGTCTATGAACCGAACCGTGGGCCCTGTGAGTCTGCGGCACCTGGATCTTGGACTGCCAGCCTCCAGGACTGTGGGAAATGGATGTGTTGTTTATAAACCACCCACTCTGTGGTGTTCTGCTCCAGCAGCCCAAACGCACGGAGACAGCTCCCCACTGGGAGCCTGAGGACACTCCAGCTGCGGGTCCTGGTGGGGAACAGAGCCTCCTCCCCCACCCAGAGGCTGAAAACGCCCGGTGTTTGCTTCCCGAGCTCTTGCAAGCAGGAAAGGACATATGACTGGGTCTGCTGGTTGGACGCACTTGTCCCAAGCATGGGGTCTCTTCAAGGGGATCAGGATCTGCGTGCAGGCAGTTATGTGGGAGGCAGTCCCAGGAAGCTGCAGGAGGGGAGAGAGGAAGGGAGCCAGAGAAGGGAAGGTGGCCCGTAAAAGGTGCATCACCCAACGAGTCACTGCTGTGAGCAACCGGAGCTGATGAAGAGCTCAGACCTCAGGGTGATTGCGACTGGGGTGGAAGGGGGCCGGCATCCACACGCCACCTCCATCAGTCACTGCTTTCTTTCTCTACCTATTTCATCCAGACTTGGATTCTGTTGCTAGCGACTATAATGGGTTGATGACACCATTCCATCTTCTCTTTCTCTGCTTCAACACCCCCACCCCCTTTCCACCATCCTCCCACCCACCTTTGTGGGCCCAGGTCCTCAGAACCACCACTCACCTGTCCCCAGCACTTCCCCCTCCTCCCTCTCAAGGACATGAAGCCCAGAAAGGCAGGGACCATTCACAGTTCCATCATTCAACAGACTGGTCACCTGCTGTGAGGCAGCACTGGGCGGCCAGTGAAGAAGCTGTGCACATCATCTGTCCTGTGAAGCCAGATGGGAGACAGATGTGGACATAATGGAAGAGACAGGGAGCAGGGTGACATTCTCTCGTTTTCCTGCGCGCGTGCACACACACACGGTCCAAGGGACCTCTTCTAAGACTTAGTGCTGGTGCTGATGATGGCCCAGTTTGTGGTTTGTTTTTTTTTCATCCTCACCCGAGGACATTTTTTGATATTTCGTTCAAATAGAGTGTGGGGGGGGACATCAACGTGAAAGGGACACATCGAGTGGTTGCCACCCACACGACGCAACCAGGGCCGGGGACAAACTGCAACCGAGGTACGTGCCCTTAGCGGGAACCAGACCCGGGTCTCTCCGGACCGCAGGTCGACGCTGAGCCAAACCGGCCAGGGCCCAGTTTGTGTTTTTAAGCAGCTGCTACAGCACCTTCATCTCCCTTCAAACCTGCTTCCTGGTCTCTGGGACATGACCCCGGCTGCCTGGGGACTGTGCCAGTGTCTTGGATGTGTGCGAACAGGCGGGCCTGCGGGAGGAGCAGCGGTGTGGAGATGAGGGACAGCCTTGGGAGGTGCAGGAGTCCCTATGGCTTGAGCGGCTGTGAGTCCTCTACAGTGTTTGCGTTCCCCACATCTGTCACCAAGGCCAGTCATCTCTGCATCCTGACATTGTCCCCTTCTGCCCACAACCACAGCTTCTCCAGGCCAGGCTACCGACATCCACTGCCTGGATAAGTCTTCCTGTTCCCTCCTCACTGATCTTTAGAGTCCTGTCTGCCCCTCCCTGTCCCTCTACCCCACAGCCACAGTGGTGCCAACACCCCGCCCATGTCTCCTGGGCTCCAGCCTAACCAGCCAGCATCTCTGGCTGAAGGCCCACACAGCCCACTCTGCTGCTCCATTGGAAGACCACAGTGCTGGGGATGTGCCCATGCCCCTCCCAGCCCAGGACGCCTTCAGTGGCCCCTGGAGGTGGTTTATAAATACCCCAGCTCCCTCCCCTTGAGGGGAATAACTCTGAAGGAAGATTTTATGCTGGCTCCCAGAGTTCCCCAGCAGGTTACGCTCCAGTACCCGCAGAGGTGACTTGCTTGGCCACACACGCGCTCCTGGCTGACTCCCTTCCCTGTCTCAATGCCCCACTCCCCTACTGGTATTTTCTGGAACCACCTCCCACATAAACTACCCACCCACAAATCCCTGTCTCAAGGCCTGCCTCTGGGGAAACCAGCTAAGAAGCACATCTTACACATCAGTGCCTTGCCAACCTCTTCATTGGTTCCTTGTGG